CAGGTTGTCAGAGTCAGGGTGTAAGCGTTCATGACCAGGTTGTCAGAGTCAGGGTGTAAGCGTTCATGACCAGGTTGTCAGAGTCAGGGTGTAAGGCAGATGTTTAGGCTCCTAAGCCTAGCCTTCATGTCCTGCTGAACAGTGACCTAAGGTTGGTCTTTTTTTGGGGGGGGGTGTCAGTCCTAGGGCTTGAACTCAGGGCCTGGGTGCTGTTCCTTAGCACTTTTTGCTCAAGATTAGTACTCTATCACTTGAGCCACAGATCTACCCCTGGCTTTTTGGTGATTAGTAAGGGTCTTACTAATCACCTGCCTGGGCTGCTTCTTACCGCGATCCTCAGATCTTAGTCTCCTGAGTAGCTAGGATTATAAGTAGGAGCCACCAGTTCATGGCCAAGGCTGGCCTTTGGTTTTTGATTATGTACAACCCTAATTGCTTTTATATAGTGGTATAGACTCAACCAGATACTTTTCTCAGGAAGTCAAGTTTTGTATTTGGTTTACCAGTTCTATTTGCCCATAGGACTAGACTAAATGGTTGTTGGAGAGTGGTGTGTGTGTGTGTGTGTGTGTGTGTGTGTGTGTGTGTGTGTGTGTGTGTGTGTGTATGCTTGTGTGTTGAATTAATAGATTCTACTGGGTAGAGGAAGCTGGAAGTTCTGTCGTCCCTGATATGATAGTTTCTCATGTGAACTCCCTTGACATCAGGCAAGTTATGAAAAGTTATCATAGTTTTGCCTTATGTTTGTTATCTAGGAAACAAGTGGAAGTGGTGAAAGGTAATAGCATAATGAATTTGACCACTTTATTGAAAAAAAGACAAATGGAGTGCATATTGCTAATAATAGCTTTCTGTAACACACCCGCAGCTGTATGATCCTCTTCGTTGCACGAAATTTCTCTTATCTGGAGTCTGAGGTAATGTTAACCCTGGACAAGTGACCTATGTTAAGTATAAAACTCAAGGGATAGTGAGGATAGACAGAGAATGGCAATTTATCCCCCTTAGAAAAGAAGTACCATTGCCCAAAGCCACACACTAGGCAGAATCTGTGTTTTAGCTTTTGAAGGAACTGTTTGTGTTCAGGATGCTCTTCATGAGTTACCAGAGTAAGTTACAGTCTTAGGCCCCCATATTCTGGAGCCTTGCACCATCCTATTTCTGAAGAGAGGAAGCACTGCTTTGGAGTCAGATGTCTTGCTTAGCAAGATGTCAAAGTAAGTGATGGTCTTGGGCTGGACAGCAGATGCATTTGTCTTTTAGTGTGACACTATCAATGGGACTTGAGTATTGTTGGCTGATGTTCATCTTTCCTGGAAACACTTAAGTGTGAGCCTTGTCACTATTTGCCTCTGAGGCACATTGTGGAATTCTTGACTGCTCTCTTCTATATGTTTATTTCTGTAGGTAAGTGTGGGCCCATGCCATACTGCTTCTCTCCCTCACTAGATGACATCACTTCTCTAGGCTGTGGCCCTTGTGTGTTACTCTTCTAGTTTATAAATCCTAGAGCCAGTTTTTGTCCTTTGTTGGAACTGGAGTTTCCAGGCACTTAGGGTAGGTATAGGTAGATTTTTCTGCATTTGAAAAGGCATGGTTTTTGTTTAAGGTTCACATACTTTTTTAATTTTGTTTTGAAAACATTAGCTTAGTTAAGGACTAGAACTTGAGATGAACTAATGGTTAATCTGTGTTGAATGCCTCTATGGTAGCAGGTATTTGAGCCAATGGGGCAACAGACTTGGATGGTACACTCTATTTGGAGGACATCTGCAATGTGATGTGCTATAGAAGAAGCACATAAGGAATATAACGATAAAGAGAGTGGACATAGCTTTTTACTTGAGAGACCAGGAGAGATGTCATAGGCAGTGCCTAATGTGGATGTGGAAGGTGGACGTTTGCATATTCAGCACAGAGACTTCTCTGCAGTCAGTTTTCATTGGACACAGGACATATGGAAAATGTAGGAACACATGGTGATTTTTGACATTGCTATCCCACAGGGCAGAAGCAAAGCACTGCAAAGCAGAGTGCTAAAATTATATTTTTGCTAAGAAAATATTTTTTTTTCTTTTTTTGATCGGTTGTGGGGCTTGAACTCTGGGCTTGGGCGCTGTCCTTACGCTCTTCAGCTCAAGGCACGCGCTCTACCGCTTGAGCCACAGCGCCACTTCCAAATATTTTGTTTTCTAGTGTGTATATTCTTACACAGTTGTTTGTAATTCATCTGTCCTTGAAGTGGTGAACCTGTGATGAAAGAACCACTTTGGGCTTTATCTTGTTTTGTGAGGATCTTCCTCACAGTATCATCCTGATGTTACTAATACACCACTAGCTATATCTTGGGAATGACTGAGATTGTAGCTGAGATGCAGGCTTAGTGGGTGTTGCAATAGTTTCCACAGAACATCCTGTGAAATGGAAATGTCTTTTCAGAGTGGTCTGGAATACTTAAATGCTTACCCAGGGTCAATTCATCACCTTACTCAGCTAAAAAAATCTCACGGTCTGGGAAGGTAGAGTACTTACCTTGCATGCATGAGGTCCTGAGTTCAATTCCTCACCATCACGTAAGTGGAAAAAGACAGAAGTGGTGCTGTGGCTCAACTGGTAGAGCTCTAGAGCTGAGGGACAGCGCTCAGGCCCAGAGTTCAAGCCCCATTACCGACCAAAAAAAAAAGCAAAAGAAAAATCTCCCCAAGCATGAGAGATGTTGATGATTGAACTTGTATCTCACAATTTTTTTTTCTCTTTTCCTCCTACTAGGTATAATTTTGACTGCTTTCTCTTCAAGCCACTTATGAGACTTTAAATCTTGCCCTAAAAATGGAAAATGGAGTAAGATCTTTCCCAGGAACTCTGGGCTACTGCTGATGGCAGAAATTGAACTTGCTCCAGGGTCACTTGTAGCCCCTCAGTGACAGCTCAGCCTGGATCATCCTGATCATGGACAGTGGGTCAGCTAAGCAAGATGGCCTCTGGGAGGACAGCTCCAGCAGTGGTACTTCTGTTGCCTCTGAAGCCCCCTTGAAGCCCCTGAGCTCAGTGTCACCTGACCAACTAGACTCAACTCAGCGTAAGTCATACTCCACATCCTTCCAGTATTTCACTTCTGTGCACAAGGATGCCGTCAGCTTGTGTTTTGGAGGAGGGCATAAACTTTCATTGGATTTGTTAATAATCTTATACATTTAAAAATTTTTAAGTTTGGTGCTAATTTTAGATCAAGCATCATCCGTATTCAACATAACAAAAGCTACTTGTTTGGTTGTGCACCATATACCCCTACTGGCTTTGGTGGTCTCATAGACTTTTCTTCTTGGGCTGGCTTTGAATCTCAATCCTCAGTTCTTCACCTCCTGAGTAGCCAGCATTGCAGGTGTGAGCCACTGGCACCCAACTGGTTGCTTAAGTTTAAAAGTTCAACAGAGACCTAAGGGCCCCTAAATTATATTTTTTCTGTTGGTTACTGTGTTATTTGTGCATCCAAAGTAGAGGCTGGTTATTCTTTCATTTTCCATGTCATGCTCAGTCAGGAGCCAGCACCGCTTTAAAATTATGTTCTACTTTACTAGCATAAACTGAATTCTAATTCTTGTAAAATCATGTTTGAGCATTTAACATGAGCTTGTTGATTCTTGTTACATAAATGCCAGGTGAAGCAGGCTTTATCCTGAGATAATGGATTCTTGAACAGACAAAGTGCCAGTCTTAGAAAATTTGCCACTGTAGAAAATACACAAGGTGGTTGAAAATATTAAGAGAAATGATACATATAATATGCCATTGGAGATGAGATGTTGAACACTTAGTAGTTCAACACTTGCCTAACTCTTGAACTCTGACACTCAGTTTTCTAGTAAATACAGTGTTTTGTCATCTGTCTTTATTTTGTTTTTTTTGTAATTAAGTTTGTGTTTAAAACAATGACATCTTAGTATTAATTATTTTTGTTGTTTAAATGGAAGGTTTAGAGATTCACCCATCAGAAAATAGTACTGACCCAAGTAACCTATAACAATGCAAGACTTCTCCCCCAAACTCCCATTAGTAAAGTTGGCATGCTGTCATCTGTGTCCTAGAGCAAAGAGGTATCTTTGTTTTGTTTTTTTTTTTGTTTGTTTGTTTTTTTGGTCCGGTCGTGGGGCCTGAACTCTGGGCCTGGGCACT